TCAAACTTTTAGCGCAAGCCAGGACAGGATGTCAGAGCAGCTGCTAAATTCGAAAGGAGATTAGCTAATGGAAGCGCTGCGCCTCTTTTCGAAACTGAGACGGTCCCCCAAAGCTGCGGTGTGTCAGAGCCGCAGATTACCAGCCGGTTGGCATGGCGACAGGGGGCAGGCCGCAAGATAATGCAAATGCCAGCTTAGCCAACATAACTCCAGTGCGAGTCATGCAGATGTGTTGCAGGCAGCACCATTCACCTACCTTTCTTTGAAAAGTTGTTACCCACGAAAAACAAGGAGGAATATTAAACACTACATTATTGTCATTTAGCAGATTCTCTTATCCAGAGCGACTTATTCATTTATACAGCTGTGGTAATTCTAGGTTAAGTTCCTTGCTCAGGGGTACAACAGCATTGTCCCAGCAGGGGATCAAACCGGCAACCTTTTGGTTAGGAGCCCTGCTCCTTACCACTGTGCTGCACTGCCATGAAAATGTGGTATAACTCACTGAAAATGTAATGACATGAAATAAAACTGCATTTCGTTGCCTTGTACTTTTTACATGTGTAATGACAATAAAGTTGAATCTAATCTAATCTAATCTAAAACGGAATGGTACAATGGAGTAAGATTCCCTCGTGTATGTGATATGCTGTCTGGCATTCACGCCTGATTTGAGTTTTATTGTCTTGGAAAGTCTGTTTTGAGTGGGTCCTGTTGTGTTTTGTTTTTTTTTTTTGGTTTTGCTTTTCTCCCGACAGTAGCTGCTATGTTTAGCATTAGATAAGAGCTTACTTGTTGTCATTTAAAAAAAAAACTATTATTTAGGACTAGAACAAACAACATGGCTAGCTCCATTAATGAAAGTTAAGCTGTGCTCTAGGAACCCAAAATTGGGACGTTCTTACCTTTTTACTGACTGTTTTGTGTTCTGTGTTTTGAACTGGCTAAGAAATAAGAGCTAGAAATAAGCCCCTCTAATATGGTCCAAGGAAACATTATTTTTTACATTAACCTTGGTAACGTGTGAATTCAACAAGGTGGGGTGGGGAGGAGTGAGTAACCAAATCTGATTGAGCTGGTAAGTGCCATTAAATTGTGCACCTTCTGGCTTTACACTGAGCAAGGATGACTGAGACAAATACAACCAAATCAAGTGCATTAACTTTATGCAACAACAGTATCTGTTGAAAGGGCTGACATCACATATATTTAGCTGTCCAGCTTTTCCAGCTAGCTTGATGCATTTAGCAACATAGAAAGCTAATTTATAGTATACCCCATCCATTGAGAGTGTCTCACTCTAATATGTTAATCTAATATTGTTAGCTAGCATTTTGCTACAAGTCAAGTGGTACTGCACATCGGAATGCAAGTGTTAAACTACACTTATAATATGTTAAACAGCTAAAATGTGCATATATGATTGTTCTGAAGGATGTTCTTTTGTGTCATACATGAATCCACACATGGGTATGTTTTTTCCCCCAGCCGTAGTTCTGCTCTTATTGCTACTACATATTAAATCATGGCAACATGTTGTATGGGAGTGAGTCTTCATTTGGCCTTGTTCTGTAGGCTGAATGTGTAGTTCCTTTTTATAATATTTTATATCCTTTTATAGTGTGTAGATTGTTTTCTGTCATCTTAACACTGCATAGGTTTTTGTTTAGAGGAACAATAAGATTTTTTATTTTCTCTAGCTCATTGCATTGTACGTTTCCCAGTCTTTTGTGCTGTGAAAGCTATCTGGCTCCCACATCTTCAGTGCGACCACAGAAAGGAGGCCGGCATGGAAGTGCTTCTGTCTCCATGAGGAGAAGTTGCAGGGCTGTTTGTTCTCTTTTTGTGTGAAGTTCCTGTGTGTTATTTTTCCCACCCTCTCACTTAACAGAGCCATGGTGACCAGTAGCACATGCCTGTCTGTGGAGCCCAGTGGCATCCCTTGCTGATACGTGGAGCGGGTTCTGACAGGGCCAGCTTAGGGACTGCGTTTGCACCCTCCCGCTCAGCCAGGTGAGCCTGCCTGTAGCCGAAAACCGCGGCCGCCCTCTCTCTGGCACCATGGCAGGGTTCCGACGTGAAGGTGCCGCCCAGCAGAGGGCTAGACAGGAGCGATCGCACCACCTGGATCCAGCGGGGATTTTTTTTTGTAAGTCAGAGGCCAGAGCTTGTGCGTCACTCCCCTCTGTAAAACGCAGCCTCCTCTGACAGTTGGTTCCTGGGGGGGTAGTGACCTCACGCAGCTTGCGGCCCTATTAATGTGGCTTTCAGGGGCTGAATGGCTCACGTAAGCGTCTGGCCAGTTGAATACTTTTTTTTTTTTTTGGAGTCTGCTTTGGCAGATTTTTAGCTGGCTGAGGAAAATGAGCTGCTGTAGGATGACGGCGTTTATGCTACGCGTGTGTAAATCCTGGAAGTCTGGAAGTCATTTTCTCATGTCGGTGGGTTTTGTGTTAAAGTCACGTAGGGTCTCGGTGCCGAGGGATTGCGTTGGAAATGCAGCGTGTTTATGTGTAATTAGAGGACCAAATCTTGTGGGCATCACTGTTTTAGTCAGTGGTCCTGACTCGGTGTTGCTTGATTGCTTGTCTGCATTGCCACGTGGCACGCCATACCTCCTGTGCTGCAGCTGTGAGAGCAGGGGCAATTCTAGGATCAGACCTTTAGGGGGGCTCAGCCCCTAATGAGAATGTGACATGCATACAGTGCCTTGCAAAAGTCTTCAGCCCCCCTGCTAAATCACTCATTTCACTGGATAACAATTAATACATTAATATTTTTCTATATATGATATCTTAATTTACAACAATAATACTTTTAATGAATTACTAGTAAGTAACATGAGTTTTACACCACAAAATTTAGGGTGCTGAGATGAAATTTAGATGTGCTTGAGCACCCCTAAACAGAGTCTAAAATCGCCCATGTGTGAGAGTCTGCTATAGAACAGGGCTCATCATTCTCTGCTCATGCACACTCAGGGTATGAATGGGATCTTCATTCATTTGATATTTGAATACTACATGCCTTCCAAAATCGAATATTCAAACCATCATACCCTGCTTTCCCCCCCTCTGCACTGTATGAAAATCCAGTTTAGCATAAATAATGACTTACTGCAAAAAGCATGCTTAATAACCGGCAGGTAGATTAGTAAAAATTCATCATTTTATGAGGGGTTTTTCAGCCCCCGTTGAATGATCATTCATTTAAAAAGATAAAACTGGATTAGTCTTCATTTTTTTGTTAATTAACAAGCATTTGAATACAGGTCCATGTAATCCATTGCTGATCTTATGGTAAAATATTTGAATAACGGCAAATTTGATTTTGTGTGTATTATCCAGAGCATAACTAATTCTGAATGATAAAAGCCATCACTGATCGGCCTCTCTGCTCTCAATAGCAAGTTGATCATTGACGTCTGATGTCAACCCTGTTCCGTTCACTGTGTCAGCTGCAGGAGGAGCTTGGAGCAGCCCCAAAAGGCAAAGCCACAGAGCGCAAAATGAACCTCTTTGATGGGGGATTTTGGTCTTTGAATCCCCCTCTTCCTGCTGTCAGGGGTTAAATCCTTGGCACAGGTGAGCTGGGTCCCACCAGGTGAGGTCGTGACACGTGTGACGAGGCCACAGCCCCTCCCCCCCGCTATGAACAGCGGGATACTAGGTTGCCCGATCATCTGAAGCAGGATTGGGCGGCCACAACCTACTCTTCCTCTTCCTTCTCTTCCTCATTTGCTTCCTGTTCTGCTTATTTTACAAGGAACTTGAAGCTTAGTCAGGTCCGTTAATCACCTTATCCCGTTACCGTGCACCTCTGGCCAAGTCGAAAGTCTGGCATTCATGCGTAGCAAAGAGATGATCGGATGGCTCAGTGACCGGGGCTCCTGAGTGGATCAGCCAGGTGAGGCGCTTGATCGGACCCAGCCGTAAATTCAGCTGACAAAGACCAGGACCCGACAGCAGCAGAACAAATTGGCTTTGTTTTGTCAAGGCAGGAGTGGACTTGACAGCAGGGTTTCCCTGTCTCACCACTGCCGGGCACCTTGCACCTCCCCGGGTGCCTTTGAGTTGCCAGCAGAGATGCGTATGTCCTGCAATCAGTGTTTGATTGTCTGTGGTATTCTGTGGGACCCATAGTGTGAAAAACAGTCTCTCAAGGCATGTGAGCATATTGTAGGATTGCATCTTCCATCTCCAATGTGTCTGTTAGAGTTTAGAGGTGGTTTCTGTCCTGAGTCAAACCTAATATGCTATTGGCAATTCAAGAAATGGAAATCTATTATGATAGTCATATTATACATCATCCACACTGATATCTTCAACCTCTGTATATTGTTTTAGCAGTGCTTAGGTGATACTCGGGGTGCTTAAATGCTAAGCTGTATGCCACTTGTTTATTGAGGCTTTGGCAGACTGATTTCTGAGATAGGATGATGAATAAGCTCACTTGTAAGTCGCTTTGGATAAAAGCATCTGCCGAATAAATAAATGTAAATGTAAAGCTAATAACTAATTTTGTGGCCTAACATTGTTGTGTATTTTTGTATTTAACTTTTTTTTAACTTTTTAACATTTGCTTTAAAGATATGTGAGTGGCTTGTGGAGAAATGCCTCTTGGGAGGTTTTGTTTGTCCTGAAGATACTATCTGAGCCTCATCGTACAGACTGGCCTGTCAGGTTTTTTGGATATATGTGGGCACCCACAGAAACGTGGGCGTATTTTCTCTGCTCTGCGATATGGTATTTTTCCAAAATCATCACTGACAGAATGTTGACAATATGATCAGCTTATCTGGCAGGAAGTCCTAGGTTGCATCTGAAGAAGAAGAGAAGGTTGGACCTTGCTACATTATTACATTATTGTCATATAGCAGACGCTCTTATTCAGAGCAACTTATATAGGTTACAATTTATACATGTCACCCATTTATACAGCTGGATAGTTACTGAGGTAATTCTGGGTTAAGTACCTTCCCCAAGGGTACAGCAGCAGCACCCCAGCGGGGAATCGAACCAGCAACCTTTCAGCTATGAGCCCTAAACCTTACCACTATGCCACACTGCCACCCTCTTATTCAGCGGGGCAGAGAAAATGAGAAATGAGAAAATGAGAGGTGGGAACAGTGGAAGTGAAGGTCGTTTCTCGCAGCTGCTGGCAGTCTGGAGCGTCCTTACGTGGGCACCGAGCGGCGCGGACGCCAGACTTAAGTACATGTGCTAGCTTTCCTCCCCCGGGGGTGCATCCTGCCCAAACGTATTTGTTTGGTCTGACGTTTCTAGTTCACCGTGTCTGCGCCGCGGTAGCCCCCTCCTCTTTCACCGCCGCGTCTGGCCTCGTTTCACGGGGACGTCGGCTCGGCTCTCCCCGCCGAGGCGCGGAGCCTCGGGACGAAATCGCCTCCCGCAAAACGCTTTCAGATGAGATGTTTTTTTTTCCGCTCCGGACGAGGATGTGCGTTGGACTCGGTGAGTCGCACATCTGTTGTGGAGATGCGGGAGGAGACGTGGGAGGAAGCTTAAATGCAGTCAGTCTCGTGTATGAATTTGTATGCTTTTGTGGCAGAGGAAGACTACCTCGCTTGACTTCCGTGCCAAAGTGCAGTTTTCATCCAATTCCAGTGTAGTCAAAGCTTTCTGTGCCAAAGTGTGGTTTTCATCCAATTCCAGGGTAGTCAAAGCTGTCTTCCACATCACCCTCCTGCATTCGCACTGTAGTATATCCATGGTTGTATTCCATGCTACCCCCTGCATCCACACAACAGCATAGTCAAACCAATTGTTTTTGCTTTTATTAGCTTGCTGGCATACTGTTTGCAAAAATAACACTTGAGAAGTCCTTAAAATAAAATGCCCTCTGTGTGTTAAGCGTATACTAATCTAGATGTGTTAAAATGCAGTGCTGGCAGTGGAAACCCTAGTGTGCTGTATCAGTCAGGCCCAGCTAGGTTCCGGTTCCCCAGCTTCTCAGAATTAGCTAACCACTGCAGGCTTATCAGATGTAGCTAATTTTTTGTTATTGGCTAGCAGTGTGGTGTAGTGGTAAGGAGCAAGGCTCATAACTCAAATAGCCAGTTCAATTCAGTGGTGGGAAACTGCTGCTGTAACCTTCAGGCAAAGCACTTAACCCAAATTGCCTCACTAAATATCTGGTTGTATAAATGGATAACATTTTTTTAAAATTATATGCTGTGTAAATCACTCAGGATAAAAGTATCTGCTGAGGAAAAGTAATGCAGACAGCAAGTATACACTTGGACTTTACTGACACTTCATTATTTTCACAAATAGGGTAAAACAGTGTAGCACAGTACAACATGGTGGTTAAGGAGCAGGTCTTGTAACGGAAAGGTTGCTGGTTCAATTCCTCGCTGGGGCACTGCTGCTGTACCCTTGGGCAAGATACTTAATCCACAAGTGCCTCAGTAAATATCCAGCTGTATAAATGGATAACATTGTGAAAAAAACTGTAACCAAGAGCGTCTGCTAAATGCCAATAATGTAATGTAATGTAAAAGATCCATGTCTGTAGGGGTGTAAACATGCCCCCCCGTGAAAGGAATTGCATGCCAGATTTGTTCACGCCCAGCCGTTCTGCCCACTGTCGGATCGGGGCCGGCCTCTGCCTTCGGATGAACTGCAGTTTGGGCTGTTACGTAACGGCCTTTACGCGGCTGTGAATCCGTGCCATTCACAGAAATGGCGGGGATTAGCGAACATTCTGACGCCTCAGCAATCCTCGGCCATCTCTCCCCCCCCCTCCCTTTTACCTCTCCTTTCAAGGAATTACACTGCTAATTATAGATAATTACAGCATATTAATCCCCTGCAGCAGCGTAACAGGGAAATGTTGCACCATTTAGCTGAGTGTTTTAGCGTATACGTATGTGAGTATCGCTTTCTTTACGGAAATATTATTAGATCTAGATAGAAAAAGAGTACGGAGCTGCCGTAACAGGCTGCCACTCACGCGGCGCCGGAAGTTCAGATACTATGAACAAGAGTATACTTCGCTTTTGTCAGAGCGTGCAAGTTAACTTGTGGTAGAGCATGAACAGTGTTATGCTCACACTCACTGGTCTGGGAGTGTTGTGAGCCTGGTCTGACACTGTTGCTCGTTTAAATTGAATGGATGCACTTATGTTCTATCGTGATGGAAGTTGCCCTTGATAAGAGTGTCTGCTAAATGCACGTAATGTAATTAGCGGGCGCGCAGCCCCCGACGCGTTTGCCGCTGAGAGAGCGCCGCCGGCTCGGTTCTCATAGGCTTCTTCTGTGGTGGACTGGGAGGCTGTGGGCACGGGCGCGGGAGTTTGTTTGTGTGTCCCGGCTGGAAGTGGGAGGTGAAATTCCAGGCTGTCGGTGACTCTGTTAAAGCTGCACTCTGTCTGTGGCCCTGGCGCGGAGCTTCCCGGGTTAAAAACTCAGAGCTTGCTGGCTCTGCGTTTCGGAGCAATGAGCTGAGAAGGTAATGCCCCGCCCATCCCCCCGATGACATGGAGAGTCTGTGTAAGCGTCTGAGATGAAGCCACGCGTCTCCCCTTGCGCCGACGTTTGAGATTAATCGCTTCTCGGGGGCCGCGATATGATTTATTTTTAAACTGTGGCTTTTCCCAGGGGTATTTATACCCTCCATCACTGACAGTTCAAATTTCACCAGCCTGCAACAATTAGACGTGAGCAATTCTGGGATGACCCCCCTACACACACACACACACACACACAAACCCCTCATGAGGAAACTGGAGACTGCGGCAGCAGCATATTATGGTCTGCATCTTGACGAGCGATGCAAAGTCACGGCAGCGTCTCAGGTGAGGAGGAGGAGGAGGAGGAGGAGAAGGAGGAGGAAGGATGATGGCCATTTTTTTGCCGTGTCTTTATTAAGATCTTCCGCCTGCCTGGCTGATTTGGGTCAGTGATGGTGATTAGCAGAGGGGGGTGGGGATGACAGGTGCGGCGCTGTCTCCTGTTTGTTTTGGGCTTGCAACAATGGAGGCCATTGTTCGCATGGGTCTCTCTCTCTCTCTCTCTCTCTCTCTCTCTCTCTCTCTCTCTCTCTCTCTCTCTCACACACACACACATGCTATGTAGCACACCAGTGGCTCTCTGTCCCTCATTTGAATGAGCTACGAGCTACAAAACTACAATGTGGCAGAGGACTTCTTTCTGCACAAGGTGTGCATGATGCTAACTTCTTTTAACATCAGCTCTCTCACTAAAAAGACCAGCCCCCTGTGCCCGTGTCTCCATCGTAGTAAACAGTAACTTCTCTGCACGCGGCGAGTACATCCCTCGTGGTCATCCCTCCAGCGTAATAATCTATGTAGGATTACGCGTGATTGTATGTCAGGTCAGATGAAGAATGAAGTGTATCTGTGTGTGTGATTTGCTCGGCCTTAGAGCCCTGTCCCACCTGTTTCCCTGAAAATAAAGAGAAACGGATTGCATGGTGTATGAATATGCTACATGCTACATGTACAGTGCTGGTCCTTCTCCTCGGCAGAAATCGACCTGGCTTTGTGCTCTGAATGGTGTTAAATGTTTACCCTGAAGGCAAATGGGTTTTTCATCTGATGATGCCTCAACTGAAATGGCTCAATCCAGAGAGCTGCATACAAGGGCCCCCTTTTGGAGCAAACTTCACATAACAGTACATAAAATAACCTCACATGCCTAATAATTAAAGTTGAGGTAGCTGTTTGGATTCTGTTAATCCTTGTGAAATGTGTGCAGTGGGGGTGGCTTAGGGGGTTGCAGTTGGGGGGTGCATTGGTTGTCTCCCCTGCAGCTCTGTGAAGAGCAGCATTGTGTTGGCTGTCACGAGCTCGTGACCCGAGTGGCCGTCATCCCCGGTGAGTTCTCTCTGCTGTCATCGGCGGGGCCGGCTCCCTCACAGTGAGCAGTCTGTTGCGGCTTGGTCATCGCCTAGGGAAAGGTGGAGACTGTGGGCCGTTTGAAAGACCCCCTGTTGTGGGGGGTTTCACCTACTTTCTCCCAGGATTTTACCCTCTGACTCATTCACACACACACACGCTTTTAAGGGCACAGCTGGGGGTAATGGAGAAAGGGACAGTTTGGGCCTTTTGGTGGACGTGTCACTGCAGAGAGAATCGGCCGTCCCTTTTATTCTACGCTTCAAAACAACGTGACTGATGGTCTCCTGAAGCGTTTCCAACAACGGCAGTGTGCGGAAACGGGTGCTAAGAGACGAAAGGTTGGCTAGTCATTTGAGTGTGCCCTGTGTAAACAGACGTGCTCATAGCTACAGGGTTCTCGCCACCCACCACAGCATTCGCCATTGTGACATCACTGGCAGACTTCCACAGGCTCCTTAATAAGGGTTCTGGCTAATTTGCATGTGGATGAGGCTATATCAGTACGTTTGGTGATGAGGAATGAATCTTCAGATGATCATTTTAACCAACTGAGGTTAAAGGGTTGAAATATAAATAAAATTAATTTCTTTTTATACTCCAAACAGTTATTTGTGGAAGGGTTCTCATGTGAAAAACAGATTCAGAAGTCCATTTTTTTTTTTCCTCCTGAGCTGTGTTGACTGAAACCGCACTGTGGTAAATAGCTTGTTCCTGCGTAAGATTACACATAGAGCACTGGAATATTTTTCTTGTCTAATCTTGCACAAAGACTTGACTCTCAGTCAGTCCCTAAGGAGAGATGAGCCTGGTTTCCTTCCAGAATTAGACAACAACAAAAAAAAAAGTTGCTTCGCTGCATAGGAGACCTGCTCCGACAGGCTCTGCCGGCCCCTGGGGCTCCCGCTTTCTTCGTCTGTGTTAAGCGCCGAAGCTCGCCACAGAGCCAGGCCTTCCAGAACAGTCCCTCAGTGGAACCCACGCCCAAACATTACTGGAAAACATTAATGGAAAACAAGTTATTGTGGAGTTTCAGAATAACCATAAAGTACTTGGAGTGAACTTTTAGGTAGAATAGAAAAAAGTATAACTAGCCTAAATCAATTAATATATCACGAATAGATGTTTTTCTGTTACACATGACCATATCCGTGAGAGGTGCAATCCGTGAAATCTTCAGTAAACACGGTGG